CTTCATGAGCGACAGCCGAGAAGAAAGAGAAAAGGACCCCGACGCGATGCTTTGGTATCTACTCAAACCTGTGCGGGAGACCTTTGAGATCATTCTCGGCACGACAAAGGATAAGGGTCAAGTCTAGCAAGGAGCGTGCGAGGATCTTCGGGTCGGAGCTGGTTGTGATCGGCAGCTTTCTCGATCGCGAATTTGTTCGAGAATCGGACAAGCCCCTGAAAAATCGCTTCTGGTACGTATATTTTGCTTCGTCCGCCACACAAACAAAGCTGACTCAATGGCGCAGGGAATTCTTGGCTACGCTGTGGCCTGTTGACAGCACCAGCAACCCCGTGACTGCGGACAGACTTAGCTTCCTGTACAGAACCATCCGCGATCGGGAACAGTCGGACGCGAAGAAGAAGGCGCAGAACTCGAACGGCACAGCCGCTACCTCTTAGATGCAGGCGACTGTGGCGCATCAAAGTCCGGGATATTCTTGACACTGAACCATGACGACTATTGTTGTATTTTTTTTCTTCTTCTACATTTCAACGATATTGTGTGTGGCATGCATGCATGGCAAGGCGTTCCGGAAGGAAGGGGATGGTACATTTTGTTCAGAGGGCCAAAAATCACGATAAACTACAAGCCGGGATCAAGCATCAAGATGCGGCCACTGAGCCGGTTATTTGCGCGCGCAACTGCATGGCGTACTGGGCGATCTGATAAGGGGCGAGCGGAAGGACGGGAAGGCTTGGGGGGGCGGGTTGGATGTCACATGATATGGTAGCCTTGCCCTCTTCGCCTCGCTCGCGAGGCTGATGAATGCGAAGGGTCCATTGCCGCCGGTCCCCTGTAAGGCCGCGTGCGAGAGGCGGAATGTCAGAGGAGGACTCTTTTTCTTCTTCTTTAGTGCTGGCCATCCGTGTACAGAAAGACTTTTGCAGAATGAGGGACAGGTTCGGAAAAAGCTTAAGATACGTGCGTCTCACCAGATTGGGGTGGGTTTGAAACGGCGTTTTGATTTCGTCCATGAGGCAAGGCACATGTCACGTGTGGGGTGGGCAGGAGGCTGGCGGGCGTTCCATAGACAGTGAGCAGACTGACAGAGAGAGGGTAGGTAGGTAGTAGTAGTTGGTGCCTTGGGAGGCGGGGATACCCAATTGACCCGGCTGCCTCCCTGCGTGGGGTGCCCTTTCTGTTTTCCGCTGGCTGGTTGCTCGCTCATTGCATAGCGTGCTACGCCGTGCCCTGGAAGTGCTGTTGATGGGCCTCGAAATGAGTTTGGCCCCTCTGCTCCGAGAGTGAGTCGCCGGCCAGGTCTGCCAGGTGACGACGGCACAGTGCCCTTTTAGCACTCTTGGCCCCCGCCGACGTGGACCCGTGACGCCGAAAGGAGGGTCTCGTCTGGAGGGTACCTTGTCGTGCTTGGGAGTGAGCGTTTCAAGCAAAGAACGCAGATGAGGCACATGTCAGTCAGCTCACGTCAGATGTGTGTGTTTGTGTTTGTGTGATCATGTGTGTCCATTCATCAAGGGTATTAAATAGCCGACCCAAACACCGTCGTTCGGATCAGGCAAGTAAGGTATTTCCTAAATATCAAACTCCGTACACCAGCCTCCATGCTCCGGACATTCGTCCTCTCTCTGGCGAGGACAACCAATGCCCGCCAGTTGGTGAGGGATGCCTATTGCAACCGTCTTTAGCGGTTGCCTTGCAAAAAGCCCCCCCTGTGGTTATGAAGACAAGGCTTCCATCGGAGCCTTCCGAACGGGCTTCCTCCAACACCATTGAAAAAAAAGGGTACACCGAACGGTACTGTTTGTCATGCGTAAGATTTACAATGTACAGCCCCCGCATGGAGTTGTAAGCCTGCCAGAACGCCTTTCGTACTCCCAACATGGGACTCGTCGATCCTTAAGAATGCTTCTCGTCTCGTCATGTCATCTGGCGCTAATTGATAAGCCCCTCCATTCCCCGAGGTTTCGATAATGGAGATATGATGCGCGGGCCCTCAGAAGCGGCTGCCACAATGCTGCCCAGGCAGCTATCGGTAGAGACGCCGATACAAGGCGATGACCGACCGTCTAACGGAGAAGTGCCTCGCTGCGTGTGGGCCGGCGTAGTCGGTAGGGTAGCCAGGTCGTCGCACTGCATGTCAGTCAGGGCAGGGAGCAGCGGTGAGGACATGAGGGAGTCGGTCCCGTGTTTTCCCGAAGACTTCTGCGTCGTATACGCAACAGGGCTACGGGACAAGGGTTGCTGTGGTCGCAAGGTAGGCAATTCGTTCGTGACCTCCTGCTTGATGTCTTTTTCTTGCTTTGCCTGGACGGACGGCACAAGGGCTCGGTTCTTGACAGCACGGAAAGTCTGCGTGACTGCGTTCTTAGGAGGCTCGGCCGCCTTCTTCGCCTGCTTCCCAGACTTCTTCGCCGGCGCTCTCTTGCGCTTTTTCGATGGTGCCTCGCTGTCAGAGCTTGCGACTGGCGTGGCACCAAAGGCAAGCTTGCTCTGTCTCGACTTTCCAGCCTTCTTGCCCGGCAGTGTGGGTAGCAATCGAGGGCTGGGTGCTGGGCGTGGGGATGCCCTGGACCTTGGTGGCGTTGGCTTGAGTCTCGGTGAGAGCCTCAAAACTCCGGCTTGGGCAGAGATGTGTTGTAAGATGACTGCGAAAGCTGGACTTCAACCTTGTCCCGCTGCAGCCACTGCTCGCGTATCTTGTTGTCTTCTTCGTTGAGAATATCGCTTGGCTCCGCGCTGGGCACATCGTAGGGTGGTAGTTGGGCAAAGTGGGCGACGTCATCAGATTTTCCGCGCACAACAAGGTCCCAGCAGTCCTTGAAATCGTTGTGTTGGGGCTCCGAGTCAAGATTGATCCAGGCAGTAAAGCCGCCGCGCTTGTTCCGAGTAGCCTGACAAAGCTCCTTGACAAGGCGTCTTACACCGGGGATTTTCAGGCTGGTGCCGACGACAATGACGGCATCTGGTCGGCTCTTCAAAATCAGAACTCGAAACGTTGCCGATTGCCTCCTCATCCGGGTTGTATTCGTTGTAGAGCACCATTCTGGGGCGGAGGCGACCGATTCCATGGCTTCGCTTTCCGCCGTGAATGGTTCTGACGGCATCCATCTCGGTACACTCTGCGCAAAGTGGAGCCTCGTGCCCAACGAAAAGCTCTGTGTTCAGCGGGGTGATCTGTCCGCATTTTGAGCAGTTCATGTGCTCAACGCTTCCATGCAGCTGTATGGTCTTGGGCCATGGCCCCTTGCGGTTCAGAGGGACAGTCGTCTTCAGCGGGGGCAAGTTCGCCCTCCCCACAGTCGACGTTTTGGG